TTCTTGTGTTAATGAAATCTTTTTAGTTGGCATCAAAATATGCACAAAAAACTAAGTAGGACAGTAACCCTCAACCTGGAAAAGAGATGGTTAAAAGAAGATAAAACCAAAGGAGTGTTCAATCACAAGCATCATGGGAAGAGTATACAGGGCTCGTACACATGCCTTTTCTCATACAAGAATAAGTTTGATGTTAAGCTAATAGAAACATGTGCAAACAACCAAAATGCCTACCTATGCATGTGGTAAAGCAATGGAGCTCACCATGTTAAGGCAAGTTAGGGTGTAGGATGTTAAGGATGTGGAAATACTACGTGTTTAAGGGAGAACTGGAGGAGTTTGTGGAACAGAAATCCACTGTGAGCTAGCCAATGTTTCATTAAAAACAAAAAAGGTTTGGAATTTCCTGAGTTTCAAACTGGCATTTAGGGGACTTTTACCTTGATGATATTTGGTCTCAGCAAGTACAGCTGTTCTTATGCTTTTTATGATATCTATGAAATCTGCTTTTTAAAACACTACTCAAAGCATTTATTGCCCAGCTCTCCATCAAGCTTCTTAGATATAATATGGTAGGTGCCTGTAGATCCTGTAGGTCTTAGAAGTGGCATTGCAGCACGATTGTTTTGTCCATTTATGAAATAAAAAATACCAGAATTTTGTTTCCCTTTGCAGTTTTTTTTTCGGTGCAGTTTTATTTAGATTCAGGTTGCTTCGTGTTCTGCATTGGGCCTTAAATACATTTATCACCTATAGCCTACATTGCTTAATATTTCTTCATTAAAAAATAATCTTGCCTTATCCGATTCTTTTGAATAACAAATAAGTTCTTGTTTTCTCTGTAGACAGACTGTGTTTAAGTTACTAATCCACCTTATCAATACAAAAGCATCTTATCAGAAAATTCTAACTGGTTTTTTCACCTGTGTTATGCAAACTTCTCTCTCCAATGTGTCTGCCCTCTGAAAATTGGTGTGCAGAGCAGGTTATTTAGGCTTTAGTGTGTGATATTTTCAGAGTTCAAATGGAACATGTAGAAATAAATGACAGGGATGAGGTTTTGCTGTAATTAGTGATTAGTGTATATTCACAAAGAACAGCTTATAATTCAACAGTTCATTCACACAAAGACTGTTCTTTCATAAACTGATCAGCAATCAGTCTGTGATCTCTTTTCAGGAATAATTTGTTTTCAATTTGTGGAGTTTTATATATATGAAACTTTACATAAATGTTTCATTGAATACTGTAATCTTATGACATTCTTTTACTATTCTAAATGCCATACCTATTTTCTAATGTCTTTTTCTGATTCAATAATGTAAGAGAATGGGTATTGAGTTCAGTAAACAACTCTTAAGAGCTTATTAAGATGTATCAGAAAAAATTGCCACAATTCTCAAGATTGATCCTGTACAATGAAGATTTATGTCATTTTTATATGCTAAATTCAAGGTCATTTGCCCCAGTTAAATCTGTCCCTTTTCCTTATTTCCATACTAACAAAGGAAATTTCTACTTTCCATATAATAACTGAAATGACACCACACGGAACAGAAAAAAAATATCGTTGGAGTTGTTATAGCAGAGATTGTTGTTTCTTTACTTTTTCTCTAACTTGTAGATTAGGGGCTCATTTATGCTCCAGACATTTACATCACCTTGGCTCACAAATTAGCTTTCAGATGGAAGCAAAAGTAATTTTAAGGTCCATTTAAACCCGAAGTAGGACAGAGTATCCTCAGAATGAATAAAGATCACGCTGTTATGTTTAAATAACTTAAATTGCATCAGCATCCTGTATTTCCCCTATTGACATTTGAACATAAAATCTTATTCCCCTAAGGGAAAATACAGTAAAGTAGGTGTCAGGGTTAAGATTCTTTACATTTTTTCTATTATTATATAATGCCATTTTTTACGTTCACTCTTTATTTGGGCCAGTTTGTTCTTTCCTTATTTTTAACTTTTCAATTCCCTTTGTTCTTTTATGGTATTTTTAAGCAACCTTCCTTTCCAAATTGAGCGTGTAATGTGATGTTTTAAGAGAGAAAGTTCTGAAGATCTCTCCTAGGTCCTTTTCTCGCTCACTGTGTACGCTCATTGTGTAACTTCATAAACAAGGCTATTGCAAAGTTTATTTGCCTGTGTTTTGTCTGTGTATGTGTACTTCTGAGTAAGTGACAGGGCTAAGATACACATCCTTCACTCTCACCAGTGACCCCATCCAAGCATGTCCTGGTTTGTCTCCTGGTGTTCTGAAATACACACTTTCCTCCCTTCACTTTCTCCTGCACGTTCTCTGAGGGCTGTTTTAACACAGTCTGTGCTAGAGGTCTGCTTCTCTGTCCCCCTGAAAACCCTTTCCATCCATGCTTTCTACTCCCTTTAAACTACTCCTAATGGCTCCTTGCTGCCAACTGTTTGTGTGAGTGTTTCATCATTGGTTTTTGTCATTTGCCAGCACTGTCAGCTCTGCCTGTGATCCCTTCTCTATCATTTTTGACTTTCTTGGCTTTCAGTGACTCCATCCTCTCCCGAATCTCCCCAAATCTCTTCAGTCAAGCATATCAACTGGAGATCCTCCTGCTTTGTCGGAGGACCTTATCAGCCTGTCTTGGGTTTCTTTCTTGCTCTCATCACATCTTCCTTTTGATGTCTCTCATCTGTGTGGACTTGTTTCTAGCTGACTTTTATTCATTATGCTCTGAGATACTTCTCAGCTGTTACCTTCACTAAAAAATCTTGCTCAGCTCTGCTTTGTTGTAAAATACAGCAAATTAGTTTAAATTATATGACTTATACTGACAGGGTCTGGGACAGAGGGAGAGCACTTGAACAGGTTTGTCCTAGTCCCATTCTAGATCAATTACAGCACAGACTTCCAGCAAGGGAAGTACCTGCCATCTTCTGACACTGATGCTTGGAGCTGTGAAAGCATCTCCCATCTTGATTCACTATGAGAGTTGTTTTGAAAGGCTTATTCTGAATTTTGGGTCACTGTTTTGTTTTTTATAGAGGGTGCCTCTGATGATTTTTCTCTTCCTCTGCAGAGGCACAGGCACCTTTTCTACTCTGTTGGAAATTTTCCTATTGTTCTATTTCAGAGCAGTTCTGACTTTTAAATTCATGCAGCTGTTATGACTCAATCTATCACTCAGCACAGTGGAGCTGACTGCTGAATGGGAAGAACAGCTCTAGAAAGAATGTGCTAATAAAATTGGCCCAAAACAATTTTTTGAAAACATAATATGTACACTTGTGTTTTCCAAGTCTTTCTTGAAGTGGGAATTCTGGCCTTCAAGTAGTGTGTTTGAAAATCATTTAAATGTTGTAAAAAATAAAGAAAAGTACAGATATCTTTGAAGACATTTCTTCCTGCACATATCATAGCGTTTTCATGTATAAACAAGAACATTTGTTATTTATTATAGGTTTTTCTTCAGTGTCAACTCACCTCATACAGATTATCATGTCAGCACTTCCATGGCAGAGACACGAACTAAAAATCCTCTTCATGTGGATAAGCTGGCCATTGATACAAGTCTACAGGCTTTTTGTAAGCTTAGAGATTTAACCAGCGTTCCTCCTTTACTCAGGCAGTGTTTTAACCTTGGATGGTTAGTTGCTGTCCAAGGCAGGTTTTTAGGCAAAACTTACTGTCTTTTGTTGGTCTGTTTCTTTTAAGGTGAAATGCATGGTGTCACTATCATAGATTTTATTATTTATTACTTCTTAATATTGTATTTTCAAGGATCTAATTCCACACTTGTGTTGAAGCCCTGATTGCTTCACACAGACTCTGTGTAGATGCAGGACTCAAAAATGATGGAACCTTTTGGTGACCTGGGATCAATAGCTCCAAACCGAGGGAAAGTGCAAAGCACTGAAGTGGAATATGTGTCCTTTGAGCTCTTCCTGTCTGAATAATGCCCTGAGGCCTTGTTGATTCACTTATGATATTGGGAAATTTAAATGCGTGTTTAAATGAAGTAATCCTGCAGCAAATATTCAGTTGGTAAAAAAAATAAATAAAATCCACCAAAAGTTATGAGAAAACGAATTTCTTGTTCCAAGAACAGGACAAAGCTACATTGAGACTGTGTATAGCCATTGGTATCCACATCCACATGGAAGTTTGGAACCTTGCTTAGTTTTCTAGATATAAGGAAAAAAAAAAAGTATTTTCTAGCCACCACTATTTTCCTAAGAAATGGGATGAGCTAGGAGTTCTAATGGGACTGAAAAATAGAGATCTAGACTTTATTGTGTTATTCTACAAAATATTGATTAGTAATTGTATTTGATCTTCAAACTGTATTTGTGGCTCCACGTGATGATATGGAGCAGAAGAGAGGACATTGACAAGGGAAATACCTCCCTTCTGTTCAGGAAAACTTACATGGGGTTTGTCCTGCGTGGACAAATAATTGTTTTCATGAAAATATTTTCCTGCTCTGAGATGAAAATGGTTTTAGCTGTTAAGTGAAAGAAGAAATCACATTTGGCAATCTCTAAAGTGCAACTTGGCCTGGTTTTTACTGCACTTTGGTATTATCACTAATTTTATTACACATTTTAGTTTGTTGTATACAACATATTTTCATCTTAAAACTAACACCATTTCTCTCCCTGGCGAATGACTCCAGCAATTACAGTTGTTTATGGGTTTCTTTGGTGAAGCAGACAAGCACTTTTTATGGCTTCTAATTTATTTTATTATTTTAAGATTCTATAAGAAAAAACTGGTTTTTTACTTCAAAGAGATCACATTTAAGCCAGCACCTTAAACTTCTCCCTGAATGAGCTCTTGTCTATAGATTTTTCAACTGTGCTGTGGTTGCATATAAGTACTTCGAGTTTCTGGTTTATTTCCATCTATTATTTGTGTTTACAAATTATGTCTTCAGCATTGAAAGCTCTGCAGAAAGCCAGGAAGTGTTTGTTTGTGAATACATTACATTTCTCCCTCCCCCTGTTTTTGTTCTGTATTGCTCCAGTCAGTGCGCTGAAGCATGACAAGAGCTCCAACTCGGCAAACTTCCAAGATGTGGAGGATACGCCTGACAGATGCGTCTTGGAAGAGTCTGAGAGTCCAGGTGAGAGGCATTTAAAGGCAGACACCAAGTATCAAGTGATAAATCTGACACAGCTTTTGGATCTGTAAAGAAAGCACATTGTAATGCTGTTTCCTTTTTAGCAGCTGCAATGTCAAATTAATGGTCACCTCCAGGGGTCACAGTGTGGAGCTGTTATCCTTTCCTCTTTCATCAAGAATTCAGGTCTTAGAAAGGATAAAGGCTTTATGACCAAAAAGAAAGCTGACACTACTAGTTCATTATAATTAGTTTTGGACTACACTGCTTACTTAATATATGTACAGTGTCTGACCCTTTGAAGGTAGCACGAGATTATGAAAAATTAGAAGGACTGTATATACTGCAGTTGAGTGTAGCAGCAGACATTCAAATGCTGTATTTCTGGAGGAAAGAAAATTGGTGGTGTTAAATAGGTTGGTCCTTTTCTTTAAATCAGCTCACAATCCTTATTTCATTTTAATGGCTCTTAACATTGATTCAGCTAAATACGGGAACATCCATAAAGTGCATCCTTTTTGGTGACTAAAAGATTTATCTTCATGTAGTTTCATTATCTTTCTCGTTATGGAACAACTACGAAATTTATTAAATGAATCCCAAGGGGAAACAATTAAATATAAAGTGTATCGAGTCACAGCTGATTAAAAACATTCTGTGTGACTAAATACTAAGATCTTTTAAGCAAACTGTGAGCTTGACTCACATAGACCGTATACATAAGCTGCACGTAGCACTCATTAGTGAAAGAGTTAAACATCTTTCTTCACTTGCTGTTTCCCTTGCCTGCTTTATCTGGTCTCTGTGTACCTTCTTGCATCTTTGTGTGCTGATCCGTGTATCATATTTTTGATTCACCGTCTCTGCGGCCTGTCAGCTTAGTTAAGAGATTTCCAAATCTTGCAGCCTGTGCTGACAGGGGGCAGCTGCCAACAGTCCCCTGATCCTTCCCCAAGGAACACTGCTGAGATTTAATTTTCAGTCAAAGGGTGCAGTCTGAAATCCATGTCAGGTCCCCTAAGTCATCTCAGAACCCAGATAGGACCCATGTCTGGGGGATTATATTTCAGCACACTCCACTCCTCCAAGATTCCTTGGGAGTTCAACTGCTGTCATATACCTGATTTGAACTACATTCCCTTTTCATCTTTTCCACAGAAATGAACACCAGTATATGTTAGAATAACTGAAACCAATGAATTGTAAATCCATATTCATTTTAAAGCCACGTAGGCTTGGACTCAGTGCTGTACAGCAGAAACCAGCATGAGATTTAGAAAGAAATAAATAATCTGCTCAGGAAGGAGCCAAGTTTGCTTCCTTACAGCACCTACTGTGGTGCATGGCGCTTCCTTCAGAAACTGTCTACAGTCCCTTCAGCATTGGCTGTGGGCAAAAGCGTGGATTGTCCAAGTTCTCATCTGTTCTGAAGTTAGAAAGAATTACAATGAGGTGACACTAAAGTGTTCAGGTAAGAACTCGTGTACCTTAAAGTTAACACGAATTTTAACCTTAAATTAATTCGGTGTGGCAAAGCGTACACATTTGGATGGGAACTTGAATATCCAATTCTGCACTCTACATATCTATATGAAGTAATGGAAAGGATAAAAGCCTGTCAGCAGGTGATATTGACTGGCAAAAATACATGTTGATAAAGCATCTAAACTTAAAAACTGAGTTCCATTCGGTCCATCTGACATCATTAAACTAGTAATAAACAATGAATTACTCTGGCTTTTGTTTCTGTCCATTCCTGCATTTTAAGACATCTTGTCTTATAGGTCTGAAAACCTCAGGAGATTTCACTACTGGTCTCACTGCTTTCCACTGAGAATTTGTGGCTTGGTTGTCATGGAGACATCGTATTTCTCCAAGAATTGCTCATATTGATCCGTGGACAGGCGTAAATGGCCAGGCGAATGTGAGGAGTAAAGGGGGTTGGGCAGTACTATAAAATGACCAGAGGTTATGGGTCGGAAATAAGCTCATAGCAAACACTTAGGTAAAGAGAAAGAAACAGTTTCATTTTGTTTCAGGATTTCGGTTTTGCACTTTATGCCATTGTCTTCTTTCACTATAGACTGAAAGAAACTTGTTAGTCACTTGTCATGTCAGATCTTTGGTGCTTGTCCTGACACAGCTGTCAGCCTTCCAGCTCTGTGCAGTTCAGGGACACACAACAAAGAGCTAGGAACATGAATTATTTATTGCTCCTTGTGCGGATGAAATTCTGTGATAAGAAATTAAGACACTTCTGACAGAAGTGCTTGTTTGAAAGGAAAGACTTGGTAACACAATACATTTACTTAAAACTTACCATTTACTTTTTGTAGCAAACATTGAAACAATAATATGACATTCCATTGGCTATGATTTTCTCTAGTATTTCTCAAGTGCTTTAACTTTGAATCGTATCTTGTAATGTGCGAGTGCCTGGAAGGTCACCATTTGATTTGTTGAAGCCTCTGACTTTAAAATCTTTAAAAGTCTGGGCAAACTTACAAACTTCATTTTGAAGTTTTCATTTTCAAGTCAATGTATGTGTTTTGCAGAGTCTCTTCTGCTTCACTTATAATATGTTGTCATATGTGGAAAAAAAAAAGTTGAGAAATATGTTAATTTTCTTACCTCTTCTGTTGAGGAAAAGGTAAAGATATGACAATGTACCTGCAAGGAATTCCAACTATTCCTAGAAAGGGTTCTTTATTACAACTTCTACAAGAACCAAGAAGGCTATACAGCAGCCATTAACAGACATCTCTGTGCATTGTGCTTTCTAATGGTGAAAGAAGCAGTCTCTAACCTTGACATTAGACTGAGACATTTTAAAAGTGATCTTAATTTCCTAAAATCACATAAAGCTTACTCTGCTTATTTTACTTCCACATTTTATATGTTCTGCACATGTACTCACTGCTCTGGATGTGGGCCTCCAGCAATTGTAGAAAAAGGCATATACTCAGATGAATAGCAGGAATCCATTTGACTACCCAAGACACCAATCTGAGATTTACCTGTGATTTCTTGTGTTCAATGTGTGATTGGAGCTACTTTCAGATAGGTAATAAAACCCCTCAACCTGCACTTTTCTCTTGGATAATTCACACTAAACACTTTTCCCATGTGATGGACACAGGTAAATATCAGACTGCAGTTTCTTGTCTAAGTGAAATGGATTTTAGTTGCTCCCTTCATGTGCCTACAAGCTGCCATTATCTGTGATAGTGGCTCATGTCTATTTTAGCCCACACACAGAGGAGATGCTGGGTTTCTCTCCCAGATGCCTAATGGTAGGTTTATCACTGCCATTTTCCCCCCATGCTGAGGACTGCTTCTGTTTGACATGCAAAGCCTTGGCTTTTCAAACTTGTCTCTGCTTTGGCCTTGACCATAATAATCAGATAAGAATTACAGCAGCTTTTTATAGAACTTTACTTTTGATCATATCAACCCTCTGTAAAGAATTCACTATCCCTTAGAGTGCTTCTTTAGAATAAATAAATAGGGTTTTTTTCATTTAGGGGAACAGAGAAAGAGGCCAAAACTGAGTGAACACAGATGAATAAGTTAGACTTCTAGGTCTGAGGTATTCACCCACGTTTTCTTGTACAAACAGTGGTGGAAAATTCACATCTCCAGAGGGCAGATCATCTTGTCCAAAGGGAGTTGCTTGAGAAGGGTTTTAAGGAGATTGAAAATGCTCTGAATTTCATCAGTCAAAATGTAAGAAGACTGACACAATTTGAGGTGTCTTACCTTTCACAGGTGGTGCAAGTCCGCTAAGGAGGGTTCTGCAAGTTCAGCTTTTGTGAGAAAAAGCAGTAGATTTGAGCTGAAGTGACAGGAAACAATGTAGGCACAGATGTACTTTGCCTCTTATTTCCCTGAACAGAGATACTGCAGTAGTCTAGGCAATAGACTGTTACTTCAGTTGGTAATAGGAGGAAATTGGGTCTCCCTAATGGAAGACTGAGTTGGAAGCTGTAGACAGAAATTACAGTGTTTTCTGCCTTCTGGATGAATACCAGGTAAATGGTAAGACCCCTATACGCTTATGGCTTCCAGTAGCCAGTCTCTACCTGAGCCAGCTGATCCCTTTTGCAGCTCATGATCTCTTCCATCCCTTCATTGCAAAAGCATTGCCCATATGAAATTTTTCCCTCTTCATTTTTTGACTTTTCAGGGCAGAATGTGATTCTGGGTGTACAGCAAGTAACAGTGAATGGCCAAGCAGTTTTCACAGTCTTACTTATCCTAGATAGACCATGGCATAGAGAGGGGAAAGATCTCTGACTGTCCCTGAAATACAGTCTATGAGAGATAGAACTGCAGCAAATAGAAATGAGAATGTATCAAGAACAGATTCTTATTAGCCACAATGTGCTTAAAAATGCAGCACTAAAATTGTGAGTATCTTGTTATCAGGCAGGTTATGATTATTCTATTGAATATTCACTTGCCAGGTCCATGTTCCATCCACTGAAGAAAGTGTTATTGAAATCATCACTGTGTCACCAATGTGGCTGTTGATTGGTACACAGACAGAACATAAAAGTAAATAATCAGGTAATTTCCAAGTATGAAGCACCCTAGAAAAGCATCATTTTCTGTATCTGCATCATCATGACAAGTAGGTAGCAGTAAATGAGGACAGATTGTGGACTGGAGTGCTTGAGGTTGTTGATGATGATGATGCATGAAGCAGGAAGGAGATGCAGTGTAGGGGCAGCCTACTGATCTCAGGCACTGATTGCCCGTAGTGCTCAATGGCTGTGCCTAGGAATTATCCCAGAAGGAATTTCTGAAATTTCCAATGCAGACAGAAATGAACCTGTAAGAGCTTCACTGCAGCAGATGTAGTGTCATGTACTATCAGCATTTTAGGTTATTCGTATCATGAATCACAAGTTTTGTTTTGTTTTAAATAGTCAATCAAATTGTAAAACCCAAAGACTACACTGTGGACATTAAGAAAATGTGTACCTCCGTCTCTAGGACACAGAAAGAGAGAAAGATGATAGATGATATGATAAAGGTACAAGATATACATTAGACTGGGAAAATGCAGTGTGTGCTGCTTTCTTGAGGATCATGAGTTCATAAAAGGTGTTGCATACATTTAGGCAGTTTCCGATACAAGTAATATTTAAAATTCAGGTTATAAATATTACCATACGTCAAATAAGAAGAAATCATGAAGCTGAAAACTGATGGTTGAGAGTGTTCTTCTGTGGAATTCTAATAAGACATGACAGAATTAAAATACAATATCTCATTAGTGTAACTTCCTATTACTTCTGTTTACAACCATTGTAGGATTGTTTCTGCTGAAAGAAAATATATATAATTTGAAAATTACCTTTCTAAAGGAAACATCAACAGCCTATTACTTTAAAACAGAAATTATCTCTCTGCTGATCCACTGGAATGTTTTCCTTTAAAACAAAGAAGGAAGATAAAGGAAAAGGCTGTCCAGAAGAAAACTTTTGAGGAACGCCATTCCTCCTCTTGAGCTCTTTTGGGTTCCATGTTGCCCCCTCTAGTATAGCTAATGTAAAAAGTCTTCTGGAGGTAGGCTTTTGATATTTGTTAACACTAGCATGATAGTGCTGAAAGTTTTCATTCTGTTACAAAAACTACAGAGTTTATTACTCTATAAGAAGATTGTAAAGTAATTTCTTCTTAAAAAAACAAATCTCACCTCTTACCTCAAACTGCAAAATCATTAAGCCAGATGAATACATTTCTTTTCCAGATGACATGAAGTCACATCCCTGGATATCCAAGGTGTGCTCCTGTAAGGTGTGTTAGAAAAACCTGCTTAGCCAGAAGAATTAGAAGATGCACAAGAACCAAGAAAGGAACATATGTGGTCTGGACATGAGAAGGCTTATTGTAGTTATTATCATAAGCATTTAACAATTCATTTTCAGAAGAAATACCTTCTGTAAGATCAGCTTCTTTTTGCTGATTTATTAGCTTCAATTCACGCTTCCATCACTAATAGATTTACATTTGTTCAACTAAATTTAGATAGTTCTAGCATAGAAAATATCAACTTTTTATTTTTAGATGTTTTTCTCTAGTTTAGGTAGTGATTCCAAATCTTAGAACTTTGACCACAAAAATTTGCATCAATTTTAATATTCTTTTATATACATAAACTTTAAATTTTTCTCTCTCCTTGCTTCTGACTTTTATTACCAATAACATTTTACCACTGAGCAAAACCAAATGCATTTGAAATAATTAGAAAAATTGTTTGCATTTAAAGGAATTAACATGGAGTATTTAGACAAAACTAAAATACAATGAATGCTTTTTGCAGAGGAGAGCATGGGAAATTTATTATAAATGTGGTGGTATCTAGGATGTGAATTTTCCTTTTCTATAAATACTGTCATCACCATCACCTCTGGAAATGTAGTACCGATACGAAGCTGATTGGAGTCCTCTTCTGAAATGATACTGAATTTCAACTTATGCTCATTGGGAAAAGCAGCTATACATTTTTGTCTTTTAAAAAATATATATTATTATCTTTGGAGAATATTTGGAGTTTATTAGGCTCATTGACCACTCAGTGTTCTTGGGGGTTTAGGCTGGTTTGATAAATAATACTCAGAGCAGTAAGCTCACTTTCTGTATTACCAATGGTCAGAGCGCTAATGAAGCCAAAAGGACTTGAGGATGTGCTTTTCTGGATCTGTACCTTTTGCTGGAAATCATGGTCTGACGTGATGCTTCGTTACTGTCACATTAGGCATAAGCTGCCTTACCTAGCAGAGTGAGGATTTCTTCAGTGTGGAAAGATTCCCTGGCAATGAATCTCTTTCTTGCTTGTGGGGAAATGTCATGGCTGCAGGAGTGACAAAACCAGGCTTCTGTATGGTTTGATTTTGGTTAAACAAACATTAAACCTTTTTTCTTTTGTTTATTTTTATCTCATCCATATGTCTAAAGGCAATGTATGGCAGTGAGGTCTACAAGAAACATTGAGTGGATGGGTCTTCTGAGAACTAGCATTTTCTTTTTTATTCAGCTAAAGAATATGTCTTTAAAACAGGTTGCAATCCAGAGAAGATAAAGATATTTAATGTTATTTTTCTGTAATTGTAAATACTGTGCAGAAAAATGACATCTTTTAACAGAAAAGTCACTGGTTTTTTACACATTTGGTTTTTTTCAGAAACAAGTTTCCTTATTCTTAGAAAGCACTTTCATATGTAAAATGTATCTTTTGCTTATATAAGCTTGTATTTGAATTATGGTGACTAAACAATCTGGATGTTGAGTGTTATGGCTTCGTTCTTTCATTTATTGTGCTGAATGTCTGGAAAAATCTCATTGACTTATTTATACTTGTACAGTACAACTGAGAGCAGAACATGTCTTCAGCTGACATATATACTCTTTTATGGGTAAATCAGAGATGCAAACATCAAGAATGTAAAACTAAAATTGCAAATATAACCAGAGGAACTTAGTAATGTGACTGGAAACTTGCAGTCTGTGAAATAAGTGGCAAATAAAGGATGGACCTTGCTATCTCCTTTGCCACACATCCTTGTCACCAGTCACCTCTGGTTTGGCATTGAAATGTCCATTTCCCTTCACAACAAACA